GAAAATGAAGGAAAAAAAATTCCACTCCTGAAGTCCCAACAGGTTTCTGTTCGCAAGCTTGAGACTGTAGTAAGGTCTATTAAAAACTATTTTGAAAAAAAATATTTTGGACGGGGGGAAAAGGAAGGTTTGTTTGTTGTAGTTGGGTCTCCCACAGCATACTAAACTTAAAAAAGCTTACAATAATCTACATGTATTTTTATAAAGGGTGACCTTATTTAGGCCACATATGGCCTAAATAAGCTAAACCCCCCTCCCTTACCTTATTTAGGCCACAGGTGGCCTAAATAAGCTAACTCCCCCTCCCTTACCTTATTTAGGCCACACCTGTGGCCTAAATAAGCTAAACCCTCCTCCCTTACCTTATTTAGGCCACACCTTTATACAAAGTCACAGAAATATTCCTTTTGTGCTTATTGAGGTACAGTGCAGGGTGATTTTACCTGCAAGGATAATTGGACAAAATGGGCAAAATCTTTATTGCTAATGGTCATATTTAGACAAATCCTATATCATTGTCTTTTTTTCTTCTTAACTGCTCATGGTTATTAAAGAGTAAGCCAACTAGGTAGTAATTTCGGATTCCTAATACTAATATTATGGGCATTCTTAAAATTTTTTAACTTGTTTTTAGCGCTTTTCTCAACGTAAAATGGATTCCGTAAAAAAACAATGACCTTATCTTTCTTTTTCAAAGTATTGTGCATATATATATATTTGTGTGAAACTATATATTCTATGCTTTCATGTACATGAAAAAAGCTAATAAAGGCAAGCAAAATGTTCTTCAGAGACATAGATCTAGTAGTAGGCCCACTGAATTTTTTTTATAAACCGGGAAAGATGACCAGAAAATAACAAAAAAATTTTATGATCTTCACTTGCACTTGCAATTTTTTTGATAAATTATAGTCTACCTCATTGTCTTTTTTTTTCCATCATTTTTCTTCACTATTCATGACAACTGGCTTGTATTGTTTTCAGTTATTATCAAGAAAGTGGATAGGCGGACTACGGGGTCTATCTAGCCAAAAGGATAGGTGGACCCCGGGGTCTACCTAACAAAATGCTAGGTTTTAGGATGTGAACCCCGGAGTCAGCGTAGTGAAATAAGTAGATCTCAGTTTATTTTATAGTAGGACTGGCGGAGCTCGTGGTCAATGTAGTGAAATTATAAGTAGATATAGGTTTAATTAAGGATTGGTGGACCCAGGGGTCAACATAGTGAAATAGGTAGATCTCAGTTTATTTTATAGTAGGACTGGCGGAGCTTGTGGTCAACGTAGTGAAATTATAAGTAGATATAGGTTTAATTAAGGATTGGTGGACTCCGGGGTCAGTGTAATGAAATCAGTAGATCTAGGTTTAATTAAGGATTGGTGGACCCTGGGGTCAATGTAGTGAAATAAGTACATGTAGATCTAGGTTTAATTTTAAGGATTGGTGGACCCTGGAGTCAACGTAGTGAAATAGGTAGGTTTAAGGTGGACCCCAGGGTCTACCTAACGAAATGCTAGTTAGGTTTTTAGAATAGGTGGAACCTGCGGTCACCGTAGTAAAATAAGTAGGTTTAATCTAGGTGTCCCGGGGGTCCACCAATCCTTAATTAAACCTTCTTATTCCTCTATGGCTATGGTGACTCCGGGGTCCACCAATCCTTTTAAAATTAACCCTACTTATTTCACTACGCTGACCCCGGGGTCCACCAATCTTTAAAGAAATCGACTTATTTCACTACAGTGACCCCGGGGTCCACCTGTCGTAAAACCTAGTATTTTGCTAGGTAGACCCCGGGTCCACCTTAAACCTGCTTATTTATCACTACGTTGACCCCGGGGTCCACCAATCCTTACTTAAACCAAACCTTATTTCACTACGGTGACTCCCGGGTTCACATCCTAAAACCTAGTATTTCGCTTTGCAGACCCCGGAGTCCACCTATCCTCTTCAGGACTAAACTATTATCAATTTGCAATTTTCATTGATTAGCATATTTTTTTTAAAATATTGAATCAGAGACTCGCTGTCTAAAAAGTCCACTGCTAATGCTATTCTTTTCAAAGAAAATGGCACAATTTGATTTTATGACATGTTGAAAAAAAGAGTTTTAAAAATATCCCGAAAACAACATAAAATGATTATATAGATCTCTCTCTCTCTCTCTCTCTCTCTCTCTCTCTCTCTCTCTCTCTCTCTCTCTATATATATATATATATATATATATATATATATATATATATATATAATAATATATGTATAAATATATATATATATGTGTGTGTGTGTGTGTGTGTGTGTATTTTATTATGTATACTAAAAGACTGAGCAGAGGCTTACAATGTAAATTCTGTGCTCTACAAGTAGAGAAAATCTTAAGTTTGCGCAAAACAGATTTTAGAAAAAAAGTTGGATCTAATTATTCTAATAAAAGTAAAAGTGATTGTTATGCTGAGATTTGTTATTATTAACTCTGGAAATACAGTTACTTGCTGAATCTAAAAGTAACTAGAACTGTGCAATTCGTTTTATTTCAATTTCAAAGCCCAAAGGCATAGCAATAATAAGTTAGATCTAGATCTAGCAGTTGTAGGCTCTCTGGCTGCTTCTAGCATAGGCCTGCTACTACTGATTCTAGACAGGGAATCTAGATCTTGCTATCGCCTGCACTATTAAAATCAAATATATGGTAAAATAAAAACAAAACTGAATTTTTTGTCAGTCAGTACATCCCAATTGCCATAGCCGCACATATTAATAGTTGAATAATGCGATACCGAAGCAACACGTTATCACAGTGTGCAGGGGAGAGCGAGGTGCTCGGTCGATTCGGTGGTTCGGCTTTTGTAGATCTATGCATTTTTTACGGAAAGCCCTATTACCTGGCCTATTACTAAATCTATTAGTGTTGTGAAAACTTCAACCTCTACAGCTCAGGCGTCAAAAGATGCTGGAAAATAATAATACGTCCTGAAGTTTCATAATTTATTTTTATACAGAATAACACAGTACACAGCCAGTAGTTTTTATTTCATCGAGTTATAAAAATGGCCTTCATATAAAAATTGCCTTGTTTTCAGAAGCAAATTTTAATAGTTCTAGTTCTACCGAATCGATTTTCACGCGAATTCAACCATTTTGATTATCTTTCTTTTCCTTTTAAAAAGATGTAGATCTAGGCCTGTTGGATGTGGCAGTGCGAATAACACTGAGTTGTTTAGATCTAGATCTAGACCCATCAACACACGAGGCTTCGTGGCCGATCACAAAAGTCTACGGGGCTTATCGAGGCCGATTCGCCCTGCTGCGAGCACGTTCACTAAACTGCCTACTAGATAGAATCTACTACCAAATATTCTCTACACGATCTTTGCTACTACTACTACTAGGCCTACTAGCCTACATGTACTACTACGAGACAGTACGAGAGAGTGTCACTCAGTAAAAGATAGTGTAACTTTGACTCAGCCACGTAGTGTACACACTTTTTATACCCCAAATTTAACCCGGAAGTCCATTCGGAGGATTTGACCTTTTCACTTGACCAAAGTGTGCCAAAATGGTAGCCTAGCTTTTGCCCCTCCATGAAGGAAAAATCTGGCCCTCATTCAAACCATTGGGATTGAGCAAAATTTTGCGTTTTGTGCTTTGTTCTTTACAATATTCATTATGGTTATGATTTATAAGTTGTACACTGAGACAAAACTGTACTAAACTAAATGAGAAAGGTGCACCATTATGAAAGTGGAAGGAACTCAGTTGCCTGAAAAGGGTAGTTTGAGCATGTGTGGCCTAAATAAGCTAAACCCCCCTCCCTTACCTTATTTAGGCCACAGTCCACTGTGGCCTAAATAAGCTAAACCCCCCTCCCTTACCTTATTTAGGCCATATGTGGCCTAAATAAGCACTCCCTTTTATAAATGGGTGTGTTGGACAATGAGAGATTTGCTAGGTCATTTTGGACAGATTTTTATTTTTAGGGCTGTTGGTTGGCGCACTATAGCGGCCACGTTGGGCAGATGGTTGTCTTCAATGGTGAAAAAAAACGCAAAGATAAACACAATGTAAGCAGTTAAATGCAAAATCGTCATTTGGACAGATGGTCATTAGAGAATGTTCGATACATTAAAAACCAGTTCATTAAGTAACAAGATGTGGAGTAATAGTAAGGATATTGGCTGTGGCACAACTAAGATTAAGATGCAAGTTCTCAAGTTCAAATTCCTGAGAGGGGAGGTTATTTCATTGGGTATTTTCGACTGCTGTGATTGTGATACTGTATCCCACTCACTCAACCCAAACTGGCTGGGATAATGCGGCCGGACTCCTGAATTATGTGGAGGTGTGAAACATTAACGAGTGGTGTAACTTTAGATCAAATCAGTCAAACACTCTATTTCTGGAAGTTGTAGTGGTAGGGGTTGGCAGTAAATTTTTTTTACATAAAGGTACATTTTTGCCCTTTCAACTCGACAGACAGGGAGAGAAAATGTATCAGATATGAAAGAAAACAACTGAAGAGAATACATTTGGCTGTCTAAGACAAATAAATCTGTCTCTTTTTCAAACCAAAGAGTTTCTCCCCTCCACAGTTCCCCCCACCTCCCCCCTTATTGTGAAGCCAGCCCTGTACGGTAATATTACTCAGTTTGTAGGTACAAACAGATTTGTACAAACAGATTTAGAGAGAGTGAAGAAACACACGTCTGAAAAGGCTTTTTGTTTTATTTTTGTCTTCTAGTACAATGTAACCGAAAAGTGACTATTGAGTAAAAGAAAGGTACTGTCTAAATCCCGATACGTTACCTAACAGTTAAAACAGAAGTGTTAGGTATAGTACATTATTCAACATCTCCCCTCGAAGTCATTGTCCCAGTGCTTAATCATCTATTTTAATAGATCTCTATAAGTTTCACTTGTTCACAACACTTAATTAAAGAGTTCTTGAGACTTGGATTTGAGTTTAGAGCACAGAGCTAAATATAGGTCACACAGTCACTGGGTCACAGGTCTAGTCTCGTTGGTACTCTGATTTCTCTGCGGTATCGGCTGACATGGGGTGTCTCTGTTGGGGCCACCGGCATTTGCGCTGACTCCCGAGCAGGGCTTGGGGTGTCAGGATGCCGTGTCGAAGACGGTGTGTTGTCCCCGGGCTCTGGTGTTGTAGTGGGCTCTGGGGTAGCCACGAGATGACTTCTGTTGCAGCGGACGGTGCTCCCTTTTTCAGTGGTCACTGTGTAGTAGCGCGGATTGGGGTGTCTGTTGTCAACGATGCCTGGTCGGCCTAGGTCTCGAATGTGGACAGAATCACCGGGGCGAAGTTCTGGAAGAGATTTGACACTGTGTCTCTTGTTGTATTGCAGCCGTATGACCTCTTTCCTCTTCTCCTCCCTTTGACGAATACAGGGTAGATCAACAGAACTTGGATGTAAGTTGTCCTGCATAATGGGGACTTTGGTTTGGAGTCTCCTTCCCATGAGGAGCTCACTTGGGGTATACCCATTTTGTAAAGGAGTAGCCCGGTATAGCAGGAGGGTAGTGTGCGGATCGTTGGCTTTCTTGAGGAGAAGCTTCACTGTTTGTCCTGCTCTTTCTGCCTCACCATTGCTCTGAGGATATCTTGGAGAGCTGGCGATTTGAATGAAAGTAAACTCTTTTGCAAAAGCTTGGAAGCTGGCGCTTGAAAACTGAGGGCCACTGTCGGACACGACTGCCTCTGGGATGCCATGAGTGACAAAGATGGACTTGAGTTTATTGATAACGAATACACTGTTGGGCTTTTTGAGTAAGCGTAGCTCTACCCAACGAGAGTAATAATCAACCATGACGATGTAAGCTTGACGTTTCACGTCAAACATCCATGGCCAATCGAGACCAAGGCCGGTCTGGTAACGAGAAAGGGAGCAGAGGATCCTTCTGGACAGGACGAAGTTTTGCTCAAGTGTTGCATTTCTTCACCATGTCCGCAATCTGACTGATATTGTTGGCCACCAGACTGAAGTTTGAGCTAGAGCTCGGCACTTCGTGATGCCAAGATGGCTTTTATGGAGTCGACTGAGAATGTCCATTTTCAAAACTTGTAGAATGACAAGTCGATCGTCAAACAAAAGGATATCATCCACAATGCTGAAATAATGACAATTAGTCCAATGCTGTTTCAGAAGTGTATTTTCAGGCAAGTATGCTGTCCAGCCTCTGGTACAGTATTTCTGGACTTCCGACGTTTCTGAGTCCCTCTTCTGCTGGGAGACCATATTTTGAAGTCTCTGTGGTGAAGCAGGGAGGCTATCAATAGCCTGTTGTGCGAAGTCTGCCACTTCGTCTACAAAGAGTGATTCTGCATCTGATGGCAGATTTGTCGGAGCACGAGAAAGTGCGTCCGCAGTGATCTGATGCTTTCCCAAAACATGCAGCACATTTGGTGAAAAGCGCATCAGCCTCATACGGAATCGTTGGATCCTTGATGGCATTTTGTGGAGTTCCTTGGCAGAGAGAAGAGGGACCAAGGGTTTTTGATCAGTCTCCAGTGTATACTGCTTGCCAAGGATGTATTCACTGAAGCGTTCTGATGCCCATGTTGCTGCAAGGGCTTCCTTCTCGATGACTGCGTAGTTCTTTTCTGCATCTGTCACAGCTCGTGAGATGTAGCTGACAGGTCTGCGAGAACCATCATCTTGTATTTGTAGAAGTACTGCCCCAAGGCCAGACATGGAAGCATCTGCAGCAACAATAGTCTCCCAGTCAGGCGAGTAGTGTGCCAGTATTGGTGTTGTGGTGAGGCCATCTTTGGTGCATTGAAAAGATGCATCTTGATGTTCTCCCCAGGTCCACAATGAGTCTTTTTTTTTTTAGCCACGTTGCAGTAGCCAAGTCAGGAGAGAATTTTGCCATCTGGTTCACCATACCCAGAAAGCGTTGTAACTCAGTGACGTTCTTGGGCTGAGGGAACTTTCGAATGCCGTCCATTTTTGCTGGGTCTACCTTGAGGCCTGTGTTATTCACGATGTGCCAGAGAAACTTGATTGATGGCTGCGAAAATTCACACTTGTCGTTTAGAGTGACCTTAGCTCTCTGGAGACGCTTCAAGACTTGTCTAACTCACTTATTGTGAGTGTGAGTGTCCTGATCAGATGCATGAATGAGAATGTCATCTTTGTGACAAATGACACCTGGAAGGCCGTCCAGAATGTTACACATTTTCTTTTGGAAGATTTCTGAGGCTGAGGATATGCCGAAAGGAAGACGGTTAAAGCAGAATCTCCCAAATGGTGTTATGAAGGTAGTGTACCTTCTGGAGTCTGGATGGAGAGGGATTTGCCAGAATCCTCTTGTCGCATCCAGCTTAGTGAATACTGTAGACCCTGCAAACTTGGCAAGCTGTTCGTCTATGGATGCAAGAGGATGGACTTCTCGTCGCACTGCCTTGTTTAGACTGGTGAGGTCCACGCATATTCTAACTGAGCCGTTTCTCTTTGGCACAACAACCATGCCGGAACACCATTCTGTGGGCTCAGTTACGGGCGAGATCACGCCTTCAGCCAATATTCGGTCAATTTCCGTCTTGACTTTTGGCAGTAGAGGGTGTGGTGCTACGTTTTGTGCTGGGTACAAGCACACAGGATCAACGCCTTCTTGTAGCTTGATCATGTATGGGTCTTTCAGTTGTCCTAGTCCTTTGAAGACATCAGGGAACTCTCTTTTGAAATCAGAAGATGTCTCGTGGACTGCATTGATTCTGGCAATGAGACCCAGCTTTACACATGCTGACCTGCAGAGTAGGGCATTCGGTTGGTCTTTTACAACGAATATTGTCTCTTTCATGGCTTTTTCTTTGAACTTTAGATCAGCCTCAAAGATACCAAGAGTAGACAGAGTTGTGTCCCCAGGGCCTTTTAGAATTTTGCTGCAGCTATTGAGAGGTTGACTAGTGTCCACACTTCTGTCTCCGATGACAGAGATCGCATCACCAGTATCAAGTTGAATTTTGTTGGAACGGAATTCAACTTGATGATAGCAGACTACTCATCTAGGCTGTCAACTTCCTTCCCAGTGATGGAACCTAAAAATCTGGGGCCTCAGCAACGTGATAAGAGTTGACTGCTATTTCCTGAACTTTGGGGTGACTACGGCAAACTGTTTTATAGTGGCCTCTCTTGCCACAGGAAACACAGACTGCAGACTTGGCAGTTGAGTTGGGGCGAGCGGACGGACGAGTTTGTTACTCGCGGACTCAGTCAGAACGAGCGGGTAACGGACGGCCATGAGAACGAACTGCGAACCTCAAGACAGTTAGTTTTTTTGGGTCCGCTCCACAATTTGACTCTCTCAGCGAGCGGACTGCGGACCTCAAGCCTCAAGTCAGTTCGTTTTCTGGGTCCGCTCCACAATTTTATTCATTGTGTGGGCGGGCGAATGGACGAACTCAAGCAGACGAGATACTCGACGCGAGATTAGACCCGTCGTCTATTGTTTGTTAATTAGGACTAATGTTTCAAACCACATGCGGTGCCACAGGGAGTGAGAAAGGCTGGTGACGTAGTACTATGTGTGTAACCTTTCACCTCGTGCGTGGGGCACACTGTGTACGTTCCAATTATCGCAAAGGCCGGGGGGGAGGGGGGGGGGGCGGAAATTTTCGCCATGAACGCCTAGCTACAATGTGAGGCAGGAGGGTGATTTCTTAATTAATTTTTTTGGGGGGGGGGGACGGGGGGTTGTAAGTTGTAGACAATGGAAGGAGTCGCTCCCGTCCGTCCGCCCGCCCGCTCGAATGCATGGAGTCTCTCGGTCCGCCCGCTCGCTAAACGAACTGTTGTTTCTGCCCGATGTGTAGCGAGTAGCGAGAAGCGAACTACTGTTCACAAATGGACGGTTCGTTACCCGTCCGCTCGTTTGCGGGTAGTGCCAGCGGGTAGTTCGTTACTCGCGGACGCTAATTTTGCGAGCCCGACCCAACCCTACTTGGCAGGGCAGGCGTCTCGTTTGTGGCTAGGGAGGCGACCAAAGTATCCACAAGGTCTCTTGGAACCTGTGTGTGGAGTGTATGGTTTGTGCAGATGCCTTGAAGCACCCGACGCACTACACATGTTGTGTGGTTTTGTTGTGACTAGCTCAACTCGAGATTGCACGAGTGTCTGGCTTTCATCACGAGCTTCAGCTTGTCGGCTTATTTGTATAGCCTCGTCGTGGGTGAGCTTGAGCTTCAATTGGAGCTGTTTGGACAGGTCATCGTCCCTTACTCCGACAACTATTCTGTCTCTTATGAGCTCATCTTTGAGGGCTCCATAGCTGCAGTCATTTGCGAACCTGTGCAAGTCTTGGATGAATATATTGACACTCTGTCCCGGTAACTGAGTGCGTTTGTTGAATTTTGCACGAGCGAAAATGATATTCTTGCGTGCATCAAAGTGAGTGTCAAATGCCTCTATCACTTCTGTGTATGTAGCGGTGCTTTCTTCGACTGATAAAGTCGTGAGGATGTCGTCGGCTACCTCCCCCATAGTGTACAGTAGAGTACTGACCTGCTCTGACTGTGACTTGTTCAGCAGACCTGTGCAAGAACGAAACCTGTTGAAACATTGTCTCCAACGTGGCCACGATTCTGTCTTCCCATCAAAGGGCTTCGGCGAGGGTAAAGACACGCGGCGATGAACTGTTGTTTCACCGGCCTTATGAACGTTAATATCCGTGTCGTGTTCAGCCATGACTAAAAAAGTAAAGAAATGACACTTATAATAATATACCATTGTCAACCGCTGCTTCCATATAATATTATAATATTGTTCGGTTTGTGGGGACTAACAGATTTAGAGAGAGTGACGAAACGCATGTCGGAAAAGGCTCTTTGTTTTATTTTTGTCTTCTAGTCTAGTACACAGTAACCGAAAAGGGACTACTGAGTAAAAGAAAGGTATTGTCTTAATCCCGATACTTTACCTAACAGTAAAAAGAGAAGTGTTATGTAATGTACATTATTCCACAAGCTCCCTTCCCCCTTTTCTCATTGAATAGCGCCCCCCCCCCCCCCCCATTTCCCTGTATAGCCCCCCCCCCCCCCCCCTCACTGCCCAGCCCTCCCCATCCATCCCGTCCTATGTAAAAGCTGATTGTTGTTCTCAGTGGTCCCTCTCATTTGGCACGTGTTCGAAACTTGTACAGACAGTGCTTGGGGGTCAGTGCAGCTTTTCTCGTCTGCCTGGGATGACATAGAGTTGATGTGTTGGAAAATGGATGTATACCTAGCCTGGGACAACTTGTCTTGTCCACTGAGGCTATCTCTGTGGTCAGTTTGTGTCAGACGGCTACCCCTCTGGTCACTGACCGATGCCGATGGGTCTTTAACCTTTCTCAAACAGGTGGCCACACGGGATTCGTTGATCTGAAGAGTTTTCAGAAATGCTTTCTGGCACACATCTGTCTCAGCAATACGGTATCTTCTTGTCTTGCTTCTTCTTCTAGATCCACATTTCGAGTAATGTCTGCGCACTTCCTCCTCCTTCACACAATAGACAATAACTGCACTGCGAGCCTCAAATGAAGGACATTCCCAATATTTGATGAACAAGTTTTTTCTCTCATCATAACTCACTCGTTCTAAACACTTCCTGGAGCAACATTCTAAGTCAGAGTCGAATAACCTTGGCAAGTTTTTTCTCTTGTGTCCCTGTCTGGGTTCTTTGGACAACAAGTGGATGTGTTCTACCACAGCCTGGTATCTCTCCTCCAGAGCCAATCTGTGCTTCCCCCTCTTCCCCCTCTGGTCACCCACAGAGGCTGTTGGGTCTGTCACTTTCCGCAGACAGGTCGCGACACGAGACTCGTTAATCTGCAGAGTCCGAAGAAAAGCCTTCTGACACACCTCCACCCCAGAGATGACATATCGTCGTGTTTTGGTTCTCCTCTTTGTTTCACTTTTTGAATAATGTCTAGCTACATTCTCCTCACTGACACAATAATTAATAATTGCACTTCGAGCCTCAAAAGAACCACAGTTCCAATATTTGGAAAACAAATTCTCTCTATCTTCAACACTCACTTTCTTCATGCACTCCTTGCTACAAGCACAATCAAACTCTGAATCAAACACCCTCGGTAATACTTCTGTTCCTTTTGAGTTGATATAACATTGATTTGTGTTACTGCACCTCTTACGCTCTGCGTATGCCTGGCTCGCCGTTCTTTTTCTTTCTCTCTTTTTACTCTGAGAAGCTGGCACATCAATTTGCCGGCTCCCACTGGTCTGAGAAGCATGTTGTCTATCCACATGAGGAGGTTGTATCTCTGTCACCTCCTTCTCTCCTTCCCCGAGAGGAAACAGAACCTGCCCTCGTCTGTCCAGCTGAGGTTGTTGTTCTGTTTGCTCCTTGTATGGAAAGTTTAAGTTTAAGGGAGAAAAATCCTCCATTTGTGCATGTCCGTTATATGGCGTGCAGTTTGACACAGGGTACGGCGGGCATGTGTTCGGATCCCCCATTGTCATGAGCACCTGGGAGATGGCATAGTTTGTTGTCCACTCATTTAATCTGTCCGGATGACTCAAAGTATCTGTGGGAAACATGTTGTGACTGTGAGGAGGTGCTGGGTACATCTGGCCAGACGGCTCCAAACTTGCCTGATCAGACAAAGGTATGGAATTGTTCAACAAACTTACAGGAAACATTTTCTCAGAGGTAGAAGCTTTCACAGTGTCTCATCACCAGAAGGACAGGTCTGCTTCAGAACTTTCAACTTCACTCATTTTTGGAACAAAATCATCTCAGGAGGACTACACGAGGTCTGCTTCAAAACTTTCGCCTTCAAGCATTGCTGATTTCTGAAACAAAAACATCATAGAACATACTTGAATCAGTCGCCTGATAGCAATCTTTTCAAGATGAAGCAAAACAAAATCTATAGCTTGAAAGTAAAAAAAGTTATTAAAAAAAAGTAGGCCTACTACCGGTAATGATATGATCCCTATATTCTGGCTCCAGTGTTTATTGACGGTAGGTCAAGTACCGTATATATATCCATAACCTGGATGTCAAAATGTACGAAATCAATGATATAATTTATAATCACTATATTCTTGACCCTTGCACTTGCACGCACTGACAAAAAAACATTTCAGAAGCATGGGAATCTTAACATGTAAACATCTCCCGACAGTGACCTACCATTTGTCTTGAATAATAATTCAAGAAAATCACAAAAAGGTTGTGAAAAAAGCTGAGGTATTCTTTTACTTTCCCTCCTGTTTCACATTTAACTTATATGTCCATTTTCTATATTGATGCGCTAAACACGAATATTATCTTCATTTCTGTTACAAATTAACTCTTCATGTCCGGTGAGCCGGTGGCAGCGGCTCAGCGCGAAGTGGGTTTGGCCGGCGAGCCGCTGACACCGGCTCGCTACACTAGCCTTCATTAAATACACGCGAAACTAATATTTCACGACATCAACCAAACTTATGGTCGCAAATGCCGAAAATAGGTCTTTTTCTGTTTGTACTTTCATTTTGTAGCGTTTGTGTGGGCGCGTATGCTAGATTTGATGGCTTGTTTCCAAACAGCTGATTTTTTGTGTATAATTTGTTTGTGTTGGTTAGGGAGATTATCATGGCTGGAGATTGCTCCTGAAATACTTATAGTGACAGTTTTGTTGTTTGGATTATACTGAGACAAAGTTTTCATTCCATTTGGATATTATAAATGTTGAGGCTCTATTCAGGTTAGTTCATCGTAATATGTAGGCTTGTAACGTCTATGTGAATGTGACTTTTTTATATGTAGTTATTGTACACCTCATCTTACACCTGGAAACTTCAAATAATTACTCAAAATTACTTTGAAAATGTGCATAAAGACACAGTTTTCATATTTAGGTATATTCAAACAAAACTATAAATGTAAGCCTTTGATTTATTGTATAACAAAGTGTGTATATATATATATAGAAATCTAGATCTAGATCTAGCTGAGTTTACACTTTTCATGCCGAATGTGGGTTCTGATATATTTTATTATTTTGGTTTATTTCAAAAGAATGGGCTTCAAAGAAGCTACAGCCACCATAGATGTAATCCTAGAATGTATATCAACATTTTTGCTTCTTTTACTTTGGCTCTGTGTTCAAGTTTTATAAAGTTACACCCATATTTGTGTGAACAGTGTTACGTAATATTGCAACATTTATTTTTGCTAATGGCTATTTACTTCAATAGTCTATTACAGTAGTCTCCGCCTAAGATCCCGGTGCTCATGAGCAAAGAAATGCGGGATCTTAGGCGAACCGGGACCTTAACCGACGATCCCAGGGAAGAATCTATGGGGACCCATGTTAAGGCTTACAATCAGTAAAATGGTCTCCCTCCACCTTAAAATGAACTGACGTGAACCCTTGGTGGGTTTATGACATATGGCGAGCAACGAGTGGTTAACCTTGATGGCCTATCACAGTGCATAGTGCCATGAGGCGTGCCATTTTCACTTATTATCCTGAGTCC